ATCCTGAACACTTGTTAACGTGGGATACAACTTTGCAAGGACTAAGGAGCTGCAGAGAGCACTTCCAAAAATCCCTCTGCTTTTAAGGCTTCCCACCCATCCTGGACAAGGGCACACACTGAACATCCCAAATGTCAAGGTTGTTTCCAAGCCCTGCTGGTTTGTGGAGCACCAAACAAGTCCCTGCTTAAGGTCTGGACGTTGCCCATCCCAGCTCCCACGTCAGGACAGTTTGACAGGAGGGGGAAATTCCACATTTTGAAGGGGAAAAAAAAAAAAGAGGAAGGAGCAGAGGTTTGGATCTGGTTCTTTTTAAAAAGTAGCAGCTGTTTGAAAGCTGCCTACAAGTTGAAAATGTTTGAAACTGGTATTGGGAGCTCCAAGCTGGTGTTAACAGGGATGGAGCCATGGATATCACAGCCACATGTGTGATATTGATGCAGGAACCGATGGGAATTCAGGGAGAGGGAGTTTTTGTGGAGACTGAACATACTTGTAAATTATCTTTAGGGCCTTTTCCAGGTTTTTATCCACGGGGAATAGCTGCCTGCCATGCCCACAGCAGGATAAAAGGGTTTTTCCAAGCCAAGCATGAGACCTGAGGTGCTGGTGAAGACAGTGATGAGGGAGGAGGGTTGATTTTCCTCATGTGATCCCACGTGGACACAGAAGAGAATTTAGGCTGAATTTAATTCTGGCATTTTTTTCCCCCAAAACAAAGCCAACACAACAAATCCAGGTGAAACAAAACTGGGTGCTTTAATTAATTCTGCTCCAGTTTGGATCCCTTCCCAGCTTCTCAAAAAGCAAAATAACCCCAAGGAAGGCGCACTAACAATGCAATCAAGCATCTGAAGTTTCTCCAAGTGAAACCTTCTCATTCCTGATGTGTCAAAGCACAGCATTTGGACACCTAAGGAAATGGAAACGTGGGGTTTTCTCCTTAGAACACCATGACCTGCCAAGCCTTAATCCAGCACGTGATCCTGCCCTCCCCAAAATGCCTTTTTTGGGGGGTTGTGACCGTTGTGCAGGGGCAGAGGCGGGAGAGGAGAGGGATTGTGGCGGTATCAGGGCTGTGACATGGCCAAGCCGAGGGCATCTCCCCCTGAGAGGACGTGTCTTTATCCATGTAGAGGATCGAGTTGGCCCACAAACATCTACTTGTTCATTCAGGTCTGGATTTCCAGCTCTAACCCTCCTGAATCTCCAGTAGGAAGAAGAGAGGAAGAAGAGGAAGAAGAAAAGAAGAAGAAGGAGAAAAGAGGAAGAAGAAAAGTATGAAGAGGATAAAGGAGAGGAGGAGGAGGAGGAGAAGTAGAAGGAGAAGGAGAAGGAGGAGAAGAAGGAGAAGGAGAAGGAGAAGGAGAAAGAAGGAAGAAAAGAAGAAGGAGAAAAAAGGAAGAAGAAGAAAAAACGAAAAAGAAGAAAAATATGTAGAAGAAAAATATGCAGAAGAAAAATATGAAGAGGAAGAGGAAGAAGAAGAAGGAGAAGAAGAAGAAGAAGAGAAAGAAGAAGAAGAATGGAAGAAGAAGGAGCAAAAGGGAAGAAGAAAAAAGGAAGAAGAAGAAAAATATGAAGAAGAAAAATGTGGAAGAAGGAGAAAAATGTGAAGAAAAATATGAAGAGGAAGAAGAAGAAGAAGGAGAAAAAGAAGAAGGAGAAAAAAGGAAAAAGAAAAATATGAAGATGATGAAGGAGAAGGAGAAGGAGAAGGAGAAAGGAAGAAGAAAAGAAGAAAGAGGAAAAAAGGAAGAAGAAAAAACCTGAAGAAAAATATGAAGAAAAATATGAAGAGGCTGAAGAAGAAGAAGGAAAGAAGAGAAGAAAAAAATAAGAAAAAAAAGAAGAAGAAGGAGAAGAAGAAAAGAAGAAGAAAAAGAAAAAGAAGAAAAAAAGAAGAAGAAAGATCCTCACTTTGAAGGATGGGTTGACTGAATCATGCTTGTTTTAAAGTGCTAATTGGCTCTTCCTTCCAGCAATTAAGGAACACACCCCCTGTCAATCTTTGTTGACTTGTAACACTGTTTATGTGGATAATGGTAGTATCAATTTAAGGTTTTTAGTACTTTTTTTTCCCCCATCTCTTCCCCTGGACAGCCATTTCCACTTCCTGGCTCATATTGCAGGAATATTTTTTTTTCTAATGCTTCTTTCATCTGATTTTTCAAAATGCTTTGATCAAAATCTCCCTTCTGAGCACCGAATGTGGTTTGAATCATCAAACTATTGCTATTAAAAGGAAAGAACCGACTTCTAATGACTTTGGTGGTGTTTGTGTGATCCAAAAGGGAATCCCTGGGAATATACCTGCAAGTACCAGAGGCCCCTTAGCTCTTCTTTTCCCTGAATCCTTTTTCCACGCTTTTTCTTTTTTTCCCCCCTCCTGTTGTTAGAATTTCTACGGAGCCATCCAAGAAGCTTGTTTGGTTTGATTCTTAAAGAACACAGATTTGTATGACTTTTGCTTTCTTTGTCCCGGGGATATCCCGTGTGAAATGAAGATTTTTCGCTGCAAAATCCCCGCAGGAAAAAAGGATCTGATCCGTGAACGCTCCAGTTTGGAAGCAGCTCCAGAGAGGTTAAGGAACGTTAATGGTGAGGAACATTTCCACCTTGCAGGCCATGAACATCCTTTCTCTCATCCCAAAATGGACATGGAAGGGATCGTTGCAAGGTGGGACCATCCCAAGGTGCCTTCACTCCCATAGGGAAGAGCAAGCCCAGGAAGGTCTGTGTGAGATGTGAGACAACTGCTCAGCTCCATGGGGATCAACACCAGGGCTGGAAGCTGAGCCCCAGAGTCCTCCAAGGCTCAGGACAACCTGCCTTGTGTTCTCCCAGGCTGTGGAAGTGCACAGGCATCTGCTCTTCATTAAAAGCAGCTCTTCTGGCTGGATCCAGGTGGTGTGTTTGCACTCAGTAGCTCTGGCACTAAAACCTGATCTGGTGAATTCGTGATTTTAGGGGAGGAAACACCAGCTCTCTGTCTATGGGTGTTAAAGAAGCCACCAAATCTGGGGCCAGGCTGGTGAAGGGCTTCCCTGTGTCCCAGGATCTCACCTGGATTAGTTTGGGTCAAGCCCTTTCTGCCCCTGCCTGCTCAACCAGGGTTGAGTGAGGGCAGAAGTGTCCCTGGCCTAAGATTTTGTAGGAAACTCTCAACCATCTTCAAATACACCATATCTGTGCCCTCAGGCTGGGCCCAGTTCTTCTGCCTTTGCAGAGCCACCTCCCACCCCTCCATTGCACTCCCACCCTAGACCTTGGCAAAGCCACATCTCTGGAAGGGCCACGAGGGGAAAAAAGAGCATTTTATGCCTTTTTTTCCCCTCTTCAGACACCATCGACTCCATCCCAGCCTCCTGCTTGGGCCCTTGAACAATTAAGAGCAGGAATAACTATGTGGCTCATTTGAGGTTTTGTTTCCACTCCTCAGACCAGAGTTGATCTCCCCTGTGAGTTCCCAGCCTTTCTCCTCCTGCTGAATTGTTTATTTTCTGATTTTGGATGGTTTCTAAGAACAGCCCTTTGGGTTTATACAAAGTTTACTCTTGTGCTTTGATTCATTGCACTTAAAGCTGCCGGTGTCGTTCTCCCAGGTGTTGGCAAAAGGTATTTGACAATCCAACGGAGCAAATTCCTGGGAAGTAAGAACAAGACCTCATGCTTAGACTTCATTTTCCTTTTCCTCTCTTTGCAGATGCGAAATGGATGTTTGTTTTCCATTGTAATTTTTATTTTTCATCAGGATTTTGGAAGGTTTCTGGACTGACTCCTTTTCTGGTGTTGGATTTGCCCTTGCTTTTAGCTTTTGTTCTCAGTGGATGTTATTCCAGAGGGCCAGTGGTCCTGCAGGAAACACAACCAGGGCCTTGCTGTGGTTTTCCAGTTTGCTGAACTGGGAGGACCAGCTTGGGATGAGGCAGCAGCCAACAACCCAACTCTGTGTTGGCTGCCTTGAAGGCAAGTGCCTCCTCCTCCATGTGTGTAACAAGGTCAGTCACCCAAAGTGTTCCAGCTGGTGCCACCTGACGTGGACCAACCTTGCTCCAAAGCTTTGACTTTTAATTAATTAGGGTTTTTTTGTAATCCACAACTTCCTGGGCAGGGGTAGAGGAGGGCAGGGACTGAGCTCTGCTCTGGGGGGACCAGGGACAGCAGCCAGGGAATGGCTGGAGCTGTGCCAGGGCAGGCTCAGGTTGGATCTCAGGGAAAGGTTCTTCCCCCAGGGGCTGGTTGGGCACTGCCCAGGCTCCCCAGGGCAGTGGGCACAGCCCCAAGGCTGCCAGAGCTCCAGGAGGGTTTGGATGATCCTCTGGGGCACAGGGTGTGACTCTTGGGGATGGGCCTGTGCAGGGCCAGGAGCTGGACTGGGTGATCCTTGTGGGTCCCTTCCAGCTCAGCACATCCTGTGGCTCTGTGACAGGTTTCCTCATCTTTCCCCCCCTCTCCAAGGAAGCTCTGGGGTAACGTCAGGTTCCTGTGAGCTTTCCAGAGCTTCCTGGTGGCCTGGAGCTCCCAGCCAACATCCACCCACACTTGTGGTGCCTTTGAACCGCTTATAAATAGCTCGTGTGGCTGCTCCATGTGCAGCCTGGGACCCAGGAGGAGCTGCTCACATCTCAGGCCCAAGGTCCGGGCTGCGGTTCCATCCCTGCCATCCCTCAGTGCTTCCACCCTCCTGGAATCCAGCAGGGATCCCGCCCCATGATTTTCCCTGCTCCTTCACGGGGGCTAGGGGTGGGGGAGAAGGTTGGGGTGTTGGTTTTTTTTTTCCTTAGGAAAGCAAACTGGCAGAATTCCTGCCACAAGGAACGAATTTGCACACACACTTTGATCCCTTTATGATTTTTTTCTTTGTGTTAGCCACATCCTCTTCGCTGCACCACTCAGCCAAAGATGCTTTAAATTAGATGAGGCTCGGCAAACACTCCCTTTGTGGCTCCCTCCCCCCCAAGCCTTGCCTGCCCCCGAGGTTTGGGATTGGTCTGGGAGCCAGAGCTTTGCCTCACATGAAACTGGCACAACCCAAAAGGCCAAAAAAAAAAAAAAAAATCTCATTTGTCAGCTTTAATCCATCACATCCCCCAAACAGAACAGCCTCCCAAATTCTGCAGCGGTGTTTACATCACCCTGACTGAAAGCTCCATCCGGGCACAGAAATGCTGCAGCTCCGGTTTCACACGAAACTTTATCGTCCCATCTGCCCCAACAACTGGAAAAAAAAATGCTAAAAAAACCCTTTTTGCATTTCTTCCTTCTTTCCCTTCCTGCCCAATCCGGCCTCCACATTTGCACACTCACTTTTTCCCCCCATTCCTGTGATTTCCTGGTAAAAGCAGTGGGTGATGAGCGAGTGGAATTAATTGCTGAGGAGATGGTTAATGGCTGTGCTAATGAAAGTGGCACAATCCTTTGGCATCATCCTGAGCCGTGGGACTGGCATTGTGCACTGGGATTGGGAACACTGACCTCTGAGTGGGGAAAACCCCCAGGAACACCATCAAAGAAGGGCAAATTAGAGATATTTTCCATTGGAAGGTGTGAATGGAAGAGGGAAAAAGCTCTTTTAGCATCAGGTCAAGGAGCAGAAGATGGTAACTGGCCCCACATAAAGGAAATCAATCCAGACAAGTGATCATTCCAGCACTTGGACTAGTGGAAGGTGTCCCTGCCCATGGAATGAGAGGAGCTTTCAGATCCTTTCCATTCCAAACATTTCTGGGATTCTCCTGTTCTGTACAGGTGAAGTTTAGAAAGGATCACAAAGAGTCCAACATTCCACATGCCACGGGACACCAAGCACTTCCTAACAACTCCATCAGATGGAACAACTAGGAAAAAATTATTAAAAAAAAAATAAGGAAAAGGAAAATAACGTGCTTTGGATCAGAGGGTACATTTTGTCTCATCAAAAAATGAAGGGTTTTTTAATTCTCCTTCTGATTTGGTGACAGGATTTCTAATCACACATATTCTCATTGCCCACAGGTTGGATTTCTTAAAAGATTGGAGACAAACATCCTAGAAGTGCAAACCTTTGAAAAACCAGGCTCTGATTGGGACCCCTTGGGTTTGGGATGGCTTTTGAACCCTTATCTTTGAAAACCTCCGGCCCCAAAGGAAACAGCACCTGTTTTTATCCAGCCAAGAAGCGCAGACATTTCCCACGTGGCTGCTTGGAATAAAAATAAGGCTGTCAGGTGATGCATCACAGAAAAATCAGTCTTTTGCCTGTCAGAAAACACCCCTCTCTTATGTCCAAGTGCTGTTACCACCCCCAGCTCTGAAATGAGGGCCCTGGATGGACACCACCATCTCATGTCCCAGCAAACCATAGACCTTCATCAAAAGGTTTTCATCCCAGTCAAAAATAAGAGACTGGAAACCCACTTTTCGCCTTCCTCCCTCACTTCTTGCCTCCTCCAAAGCAGGAGCTGTTTCTGGCCTCCAGATGTCAAACCCACAAGCTCTCCCCTCTTGCTATTTTTACCGTGCTTTGATCTTTAGCAGCGGCTGCCTGGGCAGGGGGGGAGCACAGGGGGTGCTGCTGTGCCCCCTCGCTTCCCTGCACCCCTCAGAGAGAAAAACCACCCAAAAAATGGGGTGGGAATGGAGGAGGGAGGTGAGGGAAGAATCACAGAGTCACAGAGTCACAGACAGCATCACAGTCAGCCACAGTCACAGAGACACAGCATCACAATCACAGTCACAGTCAGTCACAGAGTCAGAGAGTCACAGACACAGACACAGAATCACAGTCACAGAGTCAGAGACACAGTCACACAGAATCATAGTCACAGAGACAGAGTCACACTCAGAGTCACAGTCAGTCACAGAGTCACAGAGTCACAGACACAGAGTCACAGTCACAGTCAGACACAGTCACAGACACAGACTCACAGAGTCACAGAATCAGTCACAGACACAGACACAGTCACAGAGTCACAGAGACACAGAGTTACAGAATCAGTCATGGAGCCACAGAGTCACCGTCACAAAGACAAAGAATCACAGCCAGAGTCACAGAGTCACAGAATCACAGACACAGTCACAGAGACAGAGTCACAGCCACAGAATCACAGGGACATGGAGACACAGAGACACAATCACAGAGACATAGAGACACGGAGACACGGAGACACGGAGACACGGAGACACAGTCACAGAGAAAAGAGTCAGTCACAGAATCACAGTCACAGAATCACAGAGTCACAGAGACACAGAATCAGTCACAGAATCACAGTCACAGAGTTACAGAGACATACTCACAAAGTCACAGAGACAGAGACAAAATCACAGACAGAATCACAGTCACAGAGTCACAGAATCACAGTCACAAAGTCACAGAGACAGAGACACAGAATCACAGTCACAGAGTCACAGTCACAGAATCACAGAGTCACAGTGGTGCTGCATCCAGGCCCATCTTTTCTTGAGGCCCCTGAGGACTATCCCCAAAATTCCATTGTCCTGGGGACTAGAAGGAGTCATTTGTACTTATTTTGGGAGTTTCACGATGCAAAGAGGGAAGGCTGATGGGCAGAAGGGAGGCTGGAGGGCACCTGCCCGAGGGCTCGGCACTCGGTCTCGGTGGGGATGGGTTTTCTGTGGGGTGGGAAGAAGTTTGTTCCACTATTTTGGGCCAAAGTGGGATTCAGGACTTGAGGGCAACCTCAATTTGAGGCATGGAGGCAGCTGGAGGTGCAGAAGGTGACACTCCTGCCTGCCCTTCACCCCACCTGCTCTGGGGGCATTTGATCATCCTGGATTTTCCTCTTCCCTGGAATGGGGGCTGAACACCATGGCATCGAGGCAGGAAATGTGCTTTATATAGAGCAGGGTCAGTACAGCAACAGGAATCACTCCCTGCCTGACCTCCAGGCATTCCAAAAAGAGATGGGATTCCCTTCCAAAGGCAGCTGAGTCATGCCCAAAGCCCTGTCTTGTTATAATTCACTGGGCTGCCTCACCCCACACTGCCTTAGCCCCACTGACACCTTGAAACCCACCCTGTGCCCCATCCAAAAATAAAAAATACGTCTTTTTCATGTCATAACACACAAGAAAAATGAAATTGTGCTATCAATGGGACTCATTCCTGGAGCAAAGGAAGCAATATTCCAGCTGGAAAGTCCATGTCCAACTGGAGAGTTGGGAATATCTTCTTTTTCCTCCCCTGCCAATGTTTTATTGTTGTGGTGGGTAATATTGGGAAGCTCTCCCAGCGCAGCCCAGAGACTCACTCAACAACTCCAGGCTGGCAAAATAGTGCTGAGAGGATTGAGTGGCTTGATGCTTTTATTGGCAAAAAAAAAAAAAATGGAAAGGGAAAATTGATGGTTTTAAAAAACTCTGGGAACAGGAGGTGGAAATTGGTGTTTGTGAGCAGGTTTTTAGCCATTCTCTGCATCCCACGAGCTCCCTGCGGAGAGCTTGGGGTGAAGAAATGTCCAGGTATATTCCATAGACTGAGAGCACATTCAGTGTGCTCCAGGAGAAACTTTCCCATGGGATTTTAGGGTTTTGGGCCACTGAACAAAACATCTGGGCAAGTTTGTGTGCATTTTCCTAAGGAGCAGCAAATTTAGGTCCTCCTGTGTCATCCTTATGTTGCCCAGCTGAGCTGGGACTGAAGAGGTGAATTCAGTGCTCTGAGTCAACATGGAAAAATATAAAAACTCAGGTGGGATCCCTGTTTCCTGCAGAGCTTCTGGGATACATCAGTCGGGCAATGATGGCTGGGCCTGGGGGTCTGCAAGTGCAGATGGGCCTGGGGCAGGGGGAACTGCTCCATGACCACCATGACTACCTCCAGCCAAGCTCCTTGAGCTGCATTTCCTGCCCCAAGGGTGGCCAGGGAGGTGGGGGAGTCCCCAGCCCTGGAGGTGTCCAGGGAAGCACTGGCCATGGCACTCAGTGCTCTGGGCTGGGGGACGGGGCGGGGATCAGACAAAACTTGGACTCGATGGGCTGGGAGGGCTTTTCCAACCTCAGTGATCCTGGGATTCTAGAAATAGGACACTGTGAGATAACGCCTGAGGATCTGACTCCAACACTCTCCCGAGGAACATCTGGCTGGAGGCACCGCCAGGATCTCCTGGAGTGACCAAAAAATGGGAGATCAGGATGCTGGAGAACTTGCCAGAAGCCCCAGCCAGAGCAACACCTTGGCCATAGAGCACATTTAGAAGGTAAAACACCTGAGTTTGTGTCGAATTTCCCTCTCCTCTGCTCCTCAGCACCCACCTGGTTGCTCTTTATTCTCCAGCCCTTCCTTTGTCCTCCAGACAAGGTCACCTCATTGCTCATTGTGGCACTGGGGGGACAAGAGGTAGACTTAGAACATTCCAAGGGTCAGAGCCCCCTCAGGCAGCTCCCCATCCCTGGACGGCAACGTTGGGAAGGCTGCCCACGCCACAAACCCTCTCCTGGGCGTTTTGTGGCAGCCCCAGTGTCTAAAAACCCCAAAGCAGTGGGAATAACACACCAGCAGGTGTTTCCTCTCTATCTCCACGTGCTCAGACATCCCTCCCCACCGTGGCACCGAACCCATTTGCTGGTTTGTGTTTAAAAGCTTTGGCTTTGCCCTGAGGCTCCCAAAAACAAAGCCCTGATCCACATTACAGACAGACCACCCCCCCTCCAAAAAAACTCTCCCCTCCTGCAGCTGTAGCAACTCCATCCCTTGTAAACATATCGAGGCAAGATCAAACCTCGCTCCCTCCAAAGGAATTCCTGCATCCCCACGAGCTGCATAGCTGCGGCTGTTTAGTATTCCCAATTTAGGCCTTGGCAGAGGGGAAGGAGCAGCGAGTCTGAGAGCACATGTGCTGAGAAATGCGGTGCTGAAGGGGAGCCCACCCTTCATTTAAAGGGGAGAACTAAAATATCCCGTGTGTGGGGGGGGTGCAGACACACGTGCACATGTGTCACGGTACTTAAGCAAACACGAGGCCCACAGACCACTGAGCGCTCCCTTCTCCTGCGGCGCATTTGGAAAAGGGCTGATGCCTTCCGGGAGATGGGGAGGAATGGTAAATGTTTGGGTCTGGAGCAGCACGACTCACCGCTGCGCTTTTCCGAGCGGCTTGCGGCGAACAGCAAGTTAAAAAAAACACCCAGCACTTCGGCCTGCTCCACGTCCAAACTCATCCTGTCCCTTCGGAGCAGCGGAAACGGGAGCAGGTTTTTTTCCGTGGATGATTTTTTATGCTTTACAAATCATAGAATCCCGATACGGGAGCCCAAACCCAGTTTTCAGCAAAAGGGAAACAAGGGCTGACAAAAACCTCGTGATCTGAAGGAGCTGGACCCTTCTCACAAGACCTGTTAAAGTTCTACCTTATGGATTAAGCCTGGTTCCAGCAGAAATCAGAAAGGACCTTTTGAGATGATTGTATCAAACCATGTCTAAACCCCTGTAATCCCTCTATCCCCCATGTAATCCTAATAGGAGAAAAATTAACTATTTGGAAACTGCAGCAAAAATTTGTGTAACTCCCCAATTAACATAACCTGTCCCCTTCATTAACATGTCCAGCCCCAGATGGCTTTAAATTGTGTTCTCGTGTTCAATAGAAGATTCCAGTTTCCCCAAACTGGGATTGTCTGGCTTTTATTTTTCAGACCGCCACTTCCCACAATGATTTGGGTTGAAGGGACCTTAAAGACCATCTTGTTCCATGGGCAGGGACACCTTCCACTAGCCCAGGTTGCTCCAACCTGGCCTAGGAGACACTTCCAGCGACGGGGCAGCCACAGCTTCTCTGGGAATTCCATCCCAGCCCCTCCCCACTCTCCCAGGGAAGAATGTCTTCCTTATATCCATATGAATTTCCCCTCTTTCAGTTTGAATTTCCCCTCTTCCAGTGTGAGTTTATCCCTTGAATCATCAGTTCCTCCTGTCCTGGGGGGAAAGGAACCCCGATCCGAGCCCACTGCCCGGGGAAAGGGCTCTAGTTGCAAGAACTGGACTCAGGTCACCCCTTTCCCGGGCTGATCCTCTGAGCAGGAGGGACAAGGTGGTTCCTCTTGCAGAATCAGACCATTCAGGGCTGGTGCCCACCTGGTCCATCCCCTGGAGGGACAGTCAGGGCAGTGACCCTCAGCAGGGGAGGGCATGGAGAGATGCCACAAGTCCTCCCCCTCAGGGAGAAGCTGATGCTCCCTCCCATGTGGAAACACAGCTCTGGAGCAGGAATTTCACCCAAACTACCCCAAGATCTTGCCATTCAGCAAGGCTGGAATGGACAACGGAGACCTCGACGCCAGGATAAAACTGCTTAGCAAATATCAGCTACAAAATGCTTCATTAATCTGTAATTAGTTTTGTTAATTAGCAGGTTCTCACCAGGTTGTGCTTTATGGGACCCTCCTGCATTGTGGGATATATTTTGACTTGCCAGCAAGAGAACCTTCTTGCCCAAAAGGTTGTTATTATCTCTGTGGCCCTTCCAAGGCCCAAACAGGGACATCACAGCAAGGGCAGCAGCAGGGCTTCAATTTCTCCTGGTGTTTTTCCCTGTTCTTTTCGTGGAAAACTGGCTCCAGCTGAGCTGGTTGCACTGGGAGCTGGTGGCACTTGTGACCCGAGGATCTGACGTGTCATATGTAGGTTTTTAAAACCAAGGAGGTTTGGGAGAGG